AGACCGATCTCCAGTGGTCACCTTTGCATTCAGGGCATAGCCCAGGGGGCTTCTTAGGGCAGTTGCTCTTGAGGTGGCCTGGCTTTTAACAGTGGTAGCAGATGAATGCAGTTGTTGACTTCTTCTTGGGGCCTTGAGAATCAGACTTAAGGTCTGTTTCTCTTAGTGCTGCAGTAAAAGCAGCTGCTTTTTCTCGGTCTCTTTGTTTTCTCTCCTTGGCCTCCTCCTCATCACAGCTATAGAATACTGAGGAGGCAATTCTTACTAACATCTCAAGTGAGCCATCTGGGGTGAAAGCCATTTTTTGTACTTTTTCTCTCCAGCCTCCCAGCACATTGGGACCCCACAACCACTTAGTGTCCTCTCCCCAACCATCAGCACAGGCAGCAGGAATCTCAGTGCAGACCTCTCCAGAGTTCCACACCCTCCTCCACCGCAACCTGTACTGTCAGGGGAAGAATGGCTTCCAGAGGGTCTCCTCAGGTATTGCGCAAGGTCCTCCTGGTTTCCAGCTTCTAAACGGCTCTCCTGACCCCAGTCAACTAGACTTCTGAGTCTTCGGGCATAGCCTATATTCCTCTGAGTCCTTTCACAGCAGTTGCTCCTCTGCTGACTCTGGACCTTTCTGGTTCTCAACGGCTGGGGCAAGAGTGACCCGTTGAGTGGCACGTATTCCCAGGGGTTTCTCCATGTCGGGATGATTCACGCACGTCCCCAGGTGGGCCTTGGCAACCGGCGTATGGCGGGCCAATTGTGTCATTGCTTCTCTGTGCCATGATAGTTCTTGACTGCGCGGCAGCAGCTGGCCTGAGGGCTAGGGTGCACCAGCGCATGCCGCCATGGTGCTTCCCGGGCGCTGACTGCCCGCCTCCGGGGTGCCTGCGCGGCTTGGGTCCGAGCCAAAGGCCGGCGCTCCCCGCCTTATGGCTTCCCAGGTGCAGGCGGCCTGTCTCACGGGAGCCTGCACAGCTAGGGTCTGGCCCAAAGGCAGGCGCTCCGCACCGCGCAGCTTCCCGGGCGCAGGCCAATAATTCGGTGTTTAAACATGTGTGTCCAATTTATTTCACTTAAGAGTATGGTCTCAAGGTGCATCCACTTAGTTATTAATGTCTCAAGTTTTTCATTTTTTGTGGCGGGGTCATACTTTATTGTATAAAAAAAAGTCTTTACCCATTCACCAGTTGATGGGCATTTGGGCTATTTCAAAGATACACATGGGTATACATATATTGCTGTGGTATGATGCTTTTAATTTTTTGGGAAACATAGGAAGAAAGGGAATATCGGGGTCAAATGGAACTTCTAGTTTTTTCAGGAATCTCCACACTGATTTCCATAGTGGTTGCACTAGTCTACACTCCCACCCATAGTAGAGAAGGGTTCCTTTTCCCCCACAGCCCCTCCAGAATGTGTTATTGGTTGATTTCTTGATAATAGCCATTCTTTCTGGGGTGAGATAGAATCTCAGTGTTGTTTTAATTTGCATCTCTTGAACGACCAGTGATGTTTTTTCATATATTTATTTGCTGTTTGTATTTCTTCATCTGAGAAGCATGTATTCATCACAGATGCTCATTTTTGGATTGGGTCTTTGAATTTGGGAAGTCGGATTTCTTTAAAATTTTTATATGTTCTAGATAGTAGTCCTTTGAAAGACAAGTATTTCTAAGGAAACAGATTAACATAGACTTATTCATTATCATCCCCATAATGGGCCTTATTACACCTTCTTTCAAACTGCTCTTCCCATTACACATTAATATTAAAAGTGTCCTGCATATCTACTTATGTATATATATGTGTGTGTGTGTATATACACATGTATGTGTATATGTATATACACATGTGCATATACATGTATATACATGTGTATGCATGTACATATGTATGTGTGTGCATATATGTACATACATGTATATGTGTGTGCATGTGTGTATATACATGTCTATATATGTATATACACATGTGTATATACATTTATATTTATATAAATATAGTTATATTTATATAACTATATATATATATACACACACACACACACACACCTGTGCTTTGTGAATGAAAAATAAAAGGTTTCCTTTGGTGTTGGTCTCTTTGGTTTCTCCTTTGACTATGATACTGCCCCATAAGAATGCAAGCTTTTAGTGTGCAGTTAGTGTCAGACAGTACCAATGTCAGACCACAGCTCTCCTTCCTTCCTTGTGCCTTTGAGTTAAGTACTTCCATCCTCAATTTCCTCATCAGTAAAATGAAGATGAAAACAATATTCACCTCATTAGGTTGTTGCAGAGACTAAGTATGTTAATGTGGCTAAAATGAAATGGAACTCAGATCCAACCTCAATCCCACTGAAAAGATTTTGGACACAAAGCCTTACTTAAATGCTCCACAGCCTTCACTTTTGGGCTATTAGGCTGAGAGGAATTTTTGTTGACGTACACTCCACCCATACAGTGTTAATGCTTCATAACAGAATAATCTATGCAGAGTTTCAATCCAAATGGTGTCATCTTCTCTTTACATCTTTGCTTCAAATGTTTGTTTTGTTGTTGCTGTGAACACTGTACTGAATTACCAAGAAGGGAATCCATTCCCTCACTCTTGTATCGTCTAGGGAATGCTGAGTAACATATTTTCAAATATTCATTCTTGGTACACAAGATAAATGTTTGCCACTGACAGTCTCTCTGGAGTTCTAATCCCTGCAGGATTTGAGCAAGGGTATTGATTTGCAAAACCCACTGTGGGTTTTGGTAGTGGACGGGAGGCAACTGCATCAACAATCAAAAGCCAACCTGGTCTCTCCTCCTCAGAACAGTGTGAGGAGAACTGAGATCAGGGCACTGTAGAGACCCTTGTTATACTGTCAATTGGCTCAAGCTTTACCCTGTTGGACGGAGAAACTCTTGTAGCCTTGGCTAATGCAAACTTGTTTTTCTTTTCTATTCCAACCTTTAAAAAAAAAAACAACACTTGCAGTCTGAAGCAAGAGCAATTAGTGTATGTGAAATTAAACAAACAACTAAAAGGCTATATACAAAGCACTGCTCTTCAAATGCTTGTTGCCCTTGGCCACAGTGACGTCTAGCACTTCCTTCTGTGCTTGTCCTATAGGTGGCTGCTTTGTTGCTTCACTTTCTTATGTACCCCAACCTCCAGTCAGGGAACTCCAGGTGCAGAATTAGTGCTTTCTTCCCAAATGTCGCTCGTCACACATCCCATTTCCTCAGCTTCAAACTTTGAACCCAAATGCTGGCCATAGCATTACCAAGTTTCCTTTTTAGGAAATACCCTCACTGAGCCATACCCATGGTCAAAATGAAATTTTCAAAATGATACAATGTGGTTTCTCCTTTGATTTATTCAAATGTCACCACCCTCTCTCCACCCTTGCACAACCTCAAGAAGGTAGAAAAGCTACTCACCAAACAGTTGGATTGGTGTAAATGGTATGGTCTGAGAAAGCCTCATTAAATTATTCCTTTCAATGGCTGCAAACAAAAACAGATTTATTATTTTAAGTCCGCATCACTGGGTTAAATCTACAGAAGCGCCTCACCTCAATATATTTATATAATACCAAAATATTCTATTTCAAACACTTTTTTATTTTTGTCATTACCAAAAACATTATCTGTAATACAGTTTTAAATATAAACTGAGCCTTAAAGCAGGATATCCCAATGTTAGGAATATTTTGTAGGAGACTAAGGACTGTCTACTAACTCGAATGTGTGTGGAAGTTTCTTCTAAACGGCATTTTAACCCATGGTCTTCATCCTTTGTTTTTCTTTTTCCAAAGCACCATGGACTGTTGGGGACACCTACTGTTCATCTCACACAGTTCACTTTCTTTTCTCCCAGAGAGCACTGAAGACTAATTTTAATTAGGAGCAAGTGATCTGCATTGTCCTGCTGAGGGCCATATCCTAACAGATCAGTCAATATGACTTACAGAAGTCCTCACCAGAATCTTTCTTAAGTTGACAGCTAACATCAAAATAATAGATTACTTCTAAACTAAAAGACCCAGTAATAAGAACCTGGAGTGAGGAACCTGGAATCCACTGAAACATCATTCACTCCAGGGAAGAATTCAGGATAAAGTCGCCTATTACTGGACCCTAAACAAAAGACCCTGATATGGTGAGAACAGTACTTACAATACCAATGAGGTCCTACTTATGTCCCAAGCTTTAGACTGTTACAAAGTCCTGGCCATGTATTATCTCACCCCATGCTGAGAGCAACAACCCCCAAGAAGCCCCCGAATGGCACAAGTACAATTGGTTGTTATATCGCTTTGCACTTCGAAGTGTTTTTCTCTTAATTCTCAACTAGTCCTTTGGCAGACAGTTCCTCAGGAAGGGCAAGTATAATTATTCCCATTCTGAAGGAAAGACAACTGAAGCACTGTGAAGTGATGTTGCTTAAGAGAGTAAAAACCCTTGACATCTCTGTTTAATACCATCTTTTTGAACTTTTTCTGTGGGGCTGGCATCTAATCAGTGTTACGTTCAGTGAGGACGCAGGGAGGATACAGAACCCTCCCTTAAAGAACTACTTTTGGGTCTGTCTTTTCCTCAGTTTAAACACTAAGATCTCTAGCTTTGGGCTGGCTTAGAACACGCGAGGACTTTTTCAGGACTCAAGGTTATCCTTCTTTACCACTCAGAACTTGTCAATACACTTTTCTGCTTAAATCCAAACATTCAGAAATCCTGACAACTGGCTTGCTTAGGTCAGTGTCAAGATGAGAGATCTGAATGTTCTTCACACAAGGGTGAAGAATTTTCCAAGTTGGGAGCCATATAAAAAATAGGGACTTCACCCATGTTCCTGTTGATAAATGCAGACTTGCAGACATTTAGCTCGGTGGGCCTGTCTGTGCGCACATGCTTCCTACCTGAATAATGGTGGTGCGGCTCTGGAGGGCTTTTTAAGGATGCTGAGATCTCTGAAATTATAGAGAAGATTGACATTTTAATTACTTGGCTGGAGATAAATACATGCACCTGAATATATTGCCTTCAAAGTTATTATTGAACAGGTTAGTCAGAATGGCTCCTCAGTATTTGAAAAAGCTTGCCTAATATCCTTTAACCATATTATTGCGCATGGTATTCTGACAGCTTCCAATCATCAATGCAATATCTCCAAAAGTATTTATACAGGGAATTGGAGAAAGACAGGTAATATTAGCCTCTAAGATGTATTTCCTCTGAACCAATTACACCTCAGGGTTGCAGGAGGCACTGGGCTGCCCATCACACTTCATGACATTCCCAAAGCACGATCCTCCGAGCTCCCACCAAGACGCAGTACCCATAGAAAGGCATTATTAATGCCAAGTTATCAGCAGACTACTTCGCTGACCTGAAAAAACAGCAAAATGACGAACATGCATGAAGAGGTGCATAAAGGAACACAGGAGGGGATGGATAATGTGGTACCAAGGGATCTGCTTGGCTGCACAAGGACTGTGTGATGGGAACATCTCCCTCCAAGTTTAACGCATTCTCTTCTATCTGCTCTAGTGCTAAATTACAAGGCTCCAGAGAAATCCTTTGCAATAGTTTTGCCATTTCATAAAATCAAAATTAAAGTGGAGAAACTTTAGTCTCCTGATGGCAACTGCTTTTACCTAGTACAGTAAGCAGCATAATGAGCCTAATTTCAGAGATCACTCTGGCTTCTTGATGCTAGACAGAGGAAAGATCAAATATCACTTCCTTCAGGGTACATGGCAAAAAGTATGATCAGCAGAAAAGACACTTCCTTTCTGAATTCATTCAATAATCATTCAAATATATACACAGTTCACACTTTTTTTATCTCCCACTCTGGGTCATGCTACGAATGAGAAATGTCAATAATACAAATACTTAAATATTTTTTAAAAATTTTAAAAAAGAGAAATGCCACTAAGATAAGGTTTCCACCCCAAAGAAAAGCAAATGCAGCCATACATGGTGGCACAATAATCCCAGCACCAGGAAGGCTGAGGCAGGAGGATCTCTGTAAGTTTGAGACCAGCCTGTGCTACAAAGTGAGTTCAAGGCCAGCCTGAACTGCATAGCGATACCCTGTCTCAAAAAGACAAAAAAAGAAAGAAAAGCAAATGAAACATACTACAGAAAAAGACATGTACCTATAATAATGCAGTTTGCTAAGTAATATACTAGAGGTGCACGTGGAGGTTTATGGGACACACTAACTCCACCTAGAACATAGGACATTTATAGACAAACACTATGAAATATTTAAAGGATATGAGCATCTCGGTGTGATAAAGCTGACTTTCAATCCTGGTTTTGCTAATTACGGAGCTGCATTCTATGCACCCCACCCCACCCCCGTATTTATTAAGCATCTGCCACACGCCAGGAATTGGGCTGTGCCCTCCTAGTCATTTCTGGCACAAAGTCCTATTGAAACCACACAGGACAAGGCATCCAGGTGATGTAATTTTGTGAATGTCTCTGAGTGAGCAACATGTAAAAAGTGACAGTAAGAACTGCCAGGTCTGAAATGAGCTCAGAGGTTATACCATCATTCAGAGAGAAAATGGGAAGCACAGTGAAAAATGGGTAATTCAAAAAACTTTAAACCACAAGTCAGTACTGATTTATCTGGAGAAAGATATTCAACATTCTACTTTTTTTTACTGAATTTTCTACTTGGTATAGCAGACAAGAATCAGAAATACAAATTCAAGAACTTTGAAGGCCTTAGTATGCCAGTGAACATTATCATTAATAAAATGAAAAATAAAATGTTGAAATCTCAAAACTTACTGTCAGCTCCATTTGAACTTTTCAACCTGTATAGGAAAAATATAATTAGATAATTCTGGTTTAAATCTTTCAATGATCAAAGAAAAGAAATCCTATTGAAACAACCTAAAATCACGTACATGTATAAAACACCAGACACATCTTATCCTTACTTTTATCAACCTACAATTATTTTTACAGAGAAACGAACACCAGATACGCGTGTAAGTCACTTACTGTATACGCCCTAAGCTAACTGAAAAGTACTTGTGTTTTTTAATTAGTTATGTGATCACACAACATATATAAGATTTAACTGTGTTTGTGCTGTTCTGGATCAATTAAAGTAAAGGCTTCCTGAACTATGCAAAGTCGATGCCTACAAATGAGTCTCTCCACGTCTTCGGACAAGCCTACAAATCAGTTTCATTAGGCCACGTGGCCCTTAAATGTGCGCAGGCTGAAATTAGCTCCCTTTAAATTGTCACTTGCCCTGCTCAAGTGCACAAAGTGGCCACAGGCAAGTCTGAATAAATGCATTCAAAGAATATCTCCAGTATTTAAGGTCCTTAGGGAAGAAAGTACAATTACAATTATTGTTTAATTTCATGCTGCAATAACCCACTACTCTGCATGAGCACAAACTACTGAACCTTTGGGAGAGGAAAGTCATGTGTCCTTTAAATCTGGAAGCAGGCTCCCGAGGAGGCCGCGATGACAGCTTTGAGAAAGGCCACCTCGAACAGAGCTGCCTGCAACTGAAGGTCGCCTTCCACCTGCCCATACCAACGGGCCCTCGTGCCTGGTAGATGGTTTCGAGTGCTGCCCCTATGGCTGTATGGATATTAATTTGATGATGTAACTAAGGAAGTACAGAAAGTAGTACGAACGAAATGAAATCATCAGCCAGGTAGGCTGGCACATGCCTGATGTCAGCTACTCGAGAGATTGAAGCAGAAGGATCACATGAGCCCAAGAGTTCAAGGGGAGCCTGTGTTTCTTAAAGGGAATAAAAATAAAGCAGAATCACCTTTGCTTAGTTGGTTTTCAAATTTTCTTTCTCTCAGGAAAAAGAAATTCTATTCTACAGGTGAGTTCTCTACTCTCACCCCACCCAATCTTCCTCCCACTCCCTCTCAGTCTTTCTCAGAGCTACTGCTATGACAGTTAGGATGTTACTGAAAACCCAAAGCCGAAAAACAGCCAGTTCATACACTCAAAGGAAGAAATGTGGAAGAAAGAATTACTTTCAAATCTGAAGAATATAATCAAGTCTTAAACCCTTTTGTTTAGGCAAGATAGATTTCTTTTCTACTTCTTAAAGCAAATTCGATCTTACTTATCTGAAAAGATATGATCATCACTATTCCAATGTGTGTTCTTTCACACTAAAAAAGACAAATGCTCAATTTGCCGTAAAAGTATGTTTCACTACACTATTCTTAAAAAGCACTTGGGTGAGATCTTGTTCCCAGAAACTGGAAAAATTGGAGAATAATTTTTTTTCATGTTTGCTAATAAAAGAATATCTTCACTTGATACACAGTTTTTCCTTCCTTTTCTGATCAAGTTAACCCTGTCCTGCCCATCAGGTTGTAAAATAGAAACCAGAGACTCTTGTCAAGAGACTTTTAGAAATACTCACGGCGAGTTCCGAGCAACACTGGTGCTCCTGGACTTCCACAGGGTACTTTTCCTCAGATCCTAGGCAGAAAGAAGGGAAAGGTCATCGCTCAGGCCCCCAGCCTATCCCCACCTGAGCTTTCAGTAACGCGTCCGCAAAGTTCCCTCTTCAGAGGGCAGTGCTTCTCTTCCTCTAGCTCAGTATTTCCCTTTTAAAACACAAACCAAACCCAAGCTGGAAAGACACACGCAGTGTTAGCACAGTATCAGATTAGTTCAATGGGTTGATGGATTTTAACAGAATGCAATTACTTGTATGGGAACACTGAACAGAAAATGTAATATATGAAAGTTGCTACAGAGAGAAGACTAAACATACAAAAAGAGTTAATGACATAAAGAAAAGAAAGAACGGCCACGTTGACCAGCAACACCAATTATCACAACACTGTGTCCTATCACCAGATTATGGTTCCAGGCAACCATAATCTAAAGTAATATTACTTGGTATTTACCCCATTATCTTTCCTATTTATTCAGTGACACTTTGTGAGACCTAGTACACTCCAGGCAGTACCGTAGGTACTTCCGTAGGGACTCTTTGTTGACCACTATTGATACTCTTGTGGATAACATTAGCCCCATTAGAGAGATGCAGTTATAGAGACATAGCCCCATTATAGAGATTGGTTAACCTGAGAACTAATGAAGTACTCAGGTTAGCTGATGTTCATAGTTCTGAAACATAGCAAGTGGTAAAGTCTCTGCTCCAACAGCCTTCAAGGAGTTTTACATTTTACTGTTTTTGGTGGGGGAAAGATATACTGGAGATTAAACTTAGGAATTTCACACTGAGCTGCATCTGTGGAGAAGTAACTTCTCCACACTGATTCCAGATCTACCTCTTAAAAGCATGTGGACAATATCCTATTTTCCTGCCACACAACAGCTTTCATATATCTGAAAGCAGTTTCAAAAATTCCCAAATTCTTTCTCTCTCATGCTGGATGTCCCCAGAATGCTGGGTAGATAAGCAAGGTGCACAAAGAATGAAATAATGGGGAAAGCTTGAAAGAGATCAAGCAGGGATTCATCTGAGCAAAGTTTCAAACAAAGATTTAAATTTAATGCCAGGAAAAAGCAGAAGTCAACTAAGGGGCAAAAAGGTAAAATGAATAGTCAATGACTTGTTATGTTGATAAATGTTTTTTATGAAAATGATCCAAATATTTTTACCTCTTGAGACCACGTTAGGTAATCACTGATTTGTACAGCATGCTGCTCAATGTCCTTGGTTTTCATCTTCTGATATATATAAGGTTCTAGGTCTTGTTTAGCAGAGGAAAAAGGAGGAGGAGGAGGAGGAGAAGAAGAAAAAGAAGAAGGAAAAGAAGTAGAAAATACGTGAAAATCTGTTACATTCAAATCACAGTTCCCAAATAGAAAAATCTGAACATGCTACATTCATTTAAACTTAAGATAGTTTTGTCTTTCTGTTTTTAGCAAGTTTTACCAAGTTTGCCCTATTTTTCTCAAATGATTGCAAGCTATATATTCTATCCCTATTCTTCTATAGTTACTTTTATATTTATAACAAGTTATATTTCTCTACCATGTCAAGAATTAAATGATTCATAATCTGTGCTTCTATCAAACAATAACTTTAGTAATGTTCTTACACTTACCCTCTCCTGTACTCTACAGCCCATATTTTATTTAAAATATATGAAACTGTACTAACAAATGGCTAGGAATCTTTCCTTAATAACTGCATCAAGCATCATGAGCTAAACAACAACAAAACAAAGCTAGAAAATAATGTTATTATATAGGCTTAATTTTTAGTCTTTTATTTAAAAAGATGAGTAGTATCATGGTCATTTTTTTATAGCTTTTACCTACAGTTATTGCATACACTAGATACATAATAATGATGTAATAAATACTTTGTGGAATTATTCTGAATTAGTACATATCAAGAGTCCTAACTTGGGGCTGGGGATTTGGCTTAGTGGCAAAGTGCCTGCCTGGCAAGCACAAGGTCATGAGTTCAATTCCTGGTACCGGAAGAAAAACAAAACAAAACAAAGCAAAAGAGTCCTAACTAAGTGTAAGAGACAATACTTATGTGTTCTCCCCCTAGTGATTTTGTTCTAGAGAAAAAAGTATACAAGAAAGGTTAAAAAAAACTATTGTAATATAACAAAATTATGATCCAAACGATTTTCATAACAGCACAGCACTATAATTAAAATAAAATACCTACCAAAAACTAAATACATATTTTTCCTTTTTCACAATTAATTTCCTCAGAACTACTTTTCATGTTTAAAAGAGCTACCTGACACGGAATCTCCCAAGCCCCAAAATTCTTATTGTGTTCATTCTTAATTCAGTCATATTTCCAAAAAACAAACAAAAGAAAAAAAAACAAAACATGCTTGCTTCTCAACTCAAAAGATGGGTCAAGGAAGACTCTGGTTCTCACATCCACTCACATAAGCTGGGGACTCAGGATCAGCCTATTTCCCTTTCCCGCTGGCTATATGAGTGTAGGAGATTCTTTCCCAGAACGCTTCTGACTCCTGGACATTTTTCTGTTTTAAATTCAATGGAAAAAGCTTAAATGATTTAAGTAAAAATGACATATAATAACCCAAACATGGGTCTTACTGCTTATAAAAAACAATACATGAGAAAAATGTATGACATTGAAAAATAAAATGGATATACTTATAACTTCCCTAGAATCTTGTTTTCAGACATGAGATTGGTTTATGGAAATGTGAGCTAAATGTGAGGTAAACTGTGTGATTTAAGGCAAGATGATCAAACGCTTGAGCCATGGCTACAATTTGAGGGGGTTGAGACTAATTTAACTTCTAACATCACTTTCTACTTGAACTTGACTTGATTCTCAGTAGTTTAACAGAAAATTGAGCATATTCTAAGTGTAAATCAGAGTTTCTCTACCTCAGTACTGACGTTTTGCGCTTGAACATGCCTTGTCGTGGAGGGCTATCCCACACACGGTAGGACGTTTGCTATATCCCTGGTCTCCACCTACTGGATGCCAAGAGCACCCTGCTTTAATTGTGCTAAGTAAATACCTACAGATCTTGACAAATGTCCCCTCCAGAAAGCAAGAATGGCATGTGCAAAATCATCCTTTGGACCACTGACCATGAGGGCAAAGAGGGTCTGTAAAGAAGTACTAAGGCATAAACTTTAATACAATGTCTCTTTAGTATTAAATTATTTTAAATCTTTATGATTCCATGATCATTCCTTGATTTTTCTGTTTTAAAAATGGTAAAGAAGTTCCAAGTTCTGATTATTGTGCCCATTTCTGTTCACAGTCTGTCTTTACCTTACCTATCTAGGCTTATTTCACATTCCATGACTAGCTTACAGTTTTCAAGCCAAAGTGTCTGACCTGACCTCTCCCAAATGTCAAGCCTAAGAATACTTGTCTGTGGAACAAACACTTCATGAGTACCTATTGTATGTGGGCTTCACAAAAAGCCAATCTTAACTCAAGCTCGGAATTCTGAATAGGGATCCATATCAGGGTTACAGAAATGAAATCCCACCTTATAAACCATGAAATGAGTTCCCTAACACTCTTTAAAAAATGAGAGACTACTTAAACCTTAATATTTCTTTTCTGTATTCTGATAACTATTCCCTTAAACAAATGAAGCTTTGTTCCCTTCATAAAAATTAAAAACAGCAAAAGGCTATTTTTCTAGAGGACTTTTGCCACCTTTTCTTTCTCTCATCTCCAGTTGAAAGAACAGAAATCACAAAGGCTCCATGGACTATACCCCAAGAAAACTCTGCCTGGGATTTTAGAACCCAAGGTTGTGTCCTGGTACATACTTATCTGCCTGAACTTGGACACCGTGAGCCAATTCCTGATGCATTCGTCTTCTGAGGTGTTACTTTCTCCTGGTTGCGAATGCAGTTGGCCATTTTGACAGCAGGTGTTGACGGTTATGACCTGGAGAGAAAGCCACTTGTTGAAACATATTGACATTAATCTGAAAGCACTTTGAGTCACATGAATAGAGGTACCACGGTAAAGAGCAGTGGTTAACACTAGCTTCAGGTGAGAGTCACCTAGGACTCTGATGAATCCCCTCACTCAGGTTGGCAGGACACAGAATCTGTGTGATTTCTCCTTGTGGTCACGATTAAGAATCAAGGTGAGGGGCAGAAGTCCTTAGACTTGAACATGTATTAAAACTGTCCAGCACAGCCAGGCATAGTGGCACACACCTGTAATCCCAGCACTCAGGAGGCTGAGGCAGGAGGATCATTGCAAGTTCAAAACCAGCCTAGGCTACAAAGTGAGCTCAAGCCCAGCCTGAACTGCATAGTGAGACCCTGTCTCAAAAAGACAAAAAATTTTAAAAAAATAAAATTTCCCAGCACTTGTGAAAACCTCAAACCACTGGACCCACCTTCACATCTCTACTTAGTAGGTTGGGAAGAGGAAGAATTTGAATTGTTAATAAAGTTCCCAGAAGAAGCTTATGCTGCTGGTAGGACACCATATTTTGAGAATCACTGATACAGAGAAAGGAGAAAAGTGTTTAGATGCAAAGAACTTGTACTAGAATCCTATCTCCTGTTTATTAGAAGCTATGTGAACTTGGGTAAATTATTTAATGGCTCCATACCTAATAATATGACTGTCTTACATACTTCCCATGGAGAGAAAACAAATGAGGTAAGTTGGTAAACTACAAAGCAATAAACAAATACAAGCTTGAGTACTTGAACTCAGTGCAATTCCTACTTGAACTCTGGCCATTTGAAGTACTCCAAAAATAAATCCACTTACATGCACATTTCTCAGGGTTTCACAACTCATAATATTCACCCTGAAAAAATATCTTCCCCCATCAAGCTAAATCTGTTCCAAAGAGGTAATTTTACATAATTGTTTCGATACTTATCTCTTTCCCTGTACTTATTCTACAATGAGGGCAGTGGTATTTTTTAAAAATACATCCTGATGATTTATTTGAAAAAATAAAGGTAAAAAAACAAAAAACAAAAAAAGCGAAGCATTATGACCAGGAGAAGCAAATTCTTGCAGAACTGCTAATTCAGATCTAAGACTTTCTAACAATATAGAAAACGATTCACTGAATGAAATTGAAAACAGTATTTCAGAAGTTGTAGGACAGAGCTAAAACTGCTTATCTTATAGTACTAAATGCCCATCTTAGAAAAAATAAAATCTCAGATCAATGACCAAAGTTGCTATCTTAAAAGACTAGAAAGAGAAGGGCAAGTTAAACCCAAAATAAGCAGAACAAAGGAAATATTAAAGAGCAGAAATCAGTGGACAAGAAATCTGGAAAAAAAATAAATGAAAGTAAGAGGTGATCTTCTCAAGGAGAAGGGGGATAAAAGAGATAAACTGGTAGCCAAACTAATCATGAAATAGGAAAAAAATGAATTTAAAATTTTAAGAATGAAACAAGAGCCAGTGGTAAATGCCTGTAATCTTAGCACTTAGGAGACTGAGGCAGGAGGATCACCACAGTAGGTTCAAGCCCAGTCTGAACTGCACAGTGAGACCCTGTCTCAAAAAACCAGAATGAAACAAGTGAAGACTCCCAAGAAGATGGTGGAGTAGTGAACAGTATAGAAAAAAACTTTCTGAGATATAGTGTCCAGATACTGGAATATACCAATGTGAGGAAGAAGAAGGGAAGTGGGTCCTCAGGACCCATCAAGGAATTTAATCAAGAACTGAAGCCCACAAGAAGATTGAAGAGAGGGATCTCAACACAGAAGTAAGAAGTAACAATCAGTGCTTCTTCTCTAAGCCCTGATTCACTGTGTGAGGGGGAAGGGCTCAAACCTGACATGTAATGAATACTGGAGACCCAAGAGGCTTCCACAGAGAAATACATCAGTGGAATGGAGCAGTGGATACAGCAGATTGCAGTGGCTGGTGAGTTATTTGGGTTCAGACACCCATCCTCAGGAGAAAGTAACTGGCAGATCACCATTTTGGAGAGGGGCCAACTGAGCTTGGGACTCAGAGCAGGTACAGGTTGGCTCCATTTAGCAGCTCTCATGATGTGGCAGAGTGAGGTTCAAATCAGCAGGAGGTGAAGGAGCCAAGTTCAAGCTGGCAGGAGGCACATGGAGTGTTGCAGGCTGAACACTCAGGTTCTAGCTACACAGGCAGAAACCAGCCTGAACCTCAGTGGAACTAAAGGTGCAGACTTACTAAGAAGTAGTCATTTCCTAAGGTTTTTGAATACTAGCAATAAACCTACTTGCCATAAGCAATTTACAACCATCAACCCAAGAATTAAACTGGAAAAAGAAAATGAGAAGACAAAGAAGTAAGATGTGGGGCTGGGGGTTTAGCTCAGTGGCACAGTGCCTGCTTGGCAAGTGCAAGGTTGTGAGTTTGATTCCTTGGCAAGTGCAAGGTCATGAGTTTTCCGAAAGAAAAACAAAACAACAACAACAAAAAAGAAGTAAGATGCAACCCCAGAATTCCATTTCACCAAAGTCAAACCCAGGGAGCAATGAGGTGGAACAATTCAAAAGCCACTTCTAAAGTGGTAACAGAAGTAACCAAGCAGATGAATGAGACTCTAGAAAAAATCAAATCAGCAATAATTTCTCAGATAACTACAGAGATGGTGGCTATAATGAAAGACATGGTTAGTGAATCTAGAGCAGATACAGATAAAAAAATTAGAGGCACTTAGGAAAATGATGGAAACCATGAACACCCAACATAGGAAAGAAATGGAATTCATGAAACAGATTTAGATATCCAGGAGGTTAAAAATTCCATTGACAGTATATACAGCAGAATGAGCCAATGTAAAGACAGAACATCAGATATAGAAGATAGGATTGAAGTTAGCAACCATGAAAAGACAAATTTCTTTAAAAAAGAGACTCCAAAAATCAATCCAATAGCTGATAAATGATGCAAAAAAGAATAACATATGATTAATTGCAGTCAATGAAAAAGTAGGAGGTAGCACAAATGACAGAAAAAAAACTTATTCACCGAATTAATGGAAGAAAACTTCCCAAGCTTGGAAAAAAAATTTGACACAGATAAGTGAGGCATATACAACTCCAATTAGCTATGATAAAAAAATCTACCCCAAGTCATATAGTAGTCAAGATTCCAGAAATTCAACACAAGGAAAGGATAGTCAAAGCTGTGAAGAGAAAAGAAACAAATCTCCTATAAAGGAAAACCCATCAGAAGAATCACAACAGACTTCTCAACACAAACCCTCAAGTCAAAGACAGCTTTGAGTGAAGTATTTCAAGCCCTACAAGAAGACAACTTCCAGCCCAGACTGATGTACTCTGCAAAACTACCTTTCAAAACTGATGAAGAAATAAGAAACTTTCATGATACAGAAAACCTGAAGAAATTCATGAACACCAAACCAACCCTCCAAAATGTTCTGAAAGACATTCTAGAAAGAGATAACAAGGATTACAACTCCATAAAACCCAACAGAATGAATCCACCAGGCAAGGCAAACAAATAGAGGGGAAAAGAAGGGTAACCAACAACAGGAAAACAACCTGACAAGGACAACTCAATACATACCAGTTACAACCATTAACATTTATGTTCTCAATTCACCAATCAGAAGAAACAGACAGGCAAAATGGATCAAGAAGCAAGATCCAATAATATGTTACATACAAGAAACACATTTCATTCAACAAGAAATTCACAGACTGAAAGTCAAAGGATGGAAAACAACACTCCATGTGACAGGAACCTTTAAAAAAGCAGCATAGCTATTCTACTTGAAGACAAAGTGGGTTTCAACCCAAGACTGATTAAAAGAGACAAGAATGTCACTATATCCTCATAAAGGGAATAATTCAAGTAGAAGCAATAACAATCATAAGTATATATGCACCAAATACCAGTAGGCCCAACTATATAAAACAAATATTAATTGACATGAAAAATCAAATAAGCACTAATACAATTATAATGGGGGACTTCAATACCCCCACTGTCACAAATAGATCAACTAGACAAAATATCAACAAAGAAATATCAGAACTGAACCAAACTTTTGAACAAATGGACTTAGTAGCTCTCTACACAGACTTCCATGCCACAACATCAGAATATACATTCTTCACAGCTGTACAAGGGACATTATCTAAAATAAACCACATACTAGCTCATAGAACATGCTTAAGTTAATGCAAAGGAACTGAAATTATCCCATGCACATTATCAGACCACAGTGCAATGAAACTGAAAAATCAATGGCAAAAGAAAACACAAGAATATATAATATATAATGATAACAATAATATATAATGATAACAATATGCAATATAATAACCTTATAACTGTTAATTTATCATTTTGTTTTGAAATTCTGTATCATTTTATTGGGGTTTTTTTCTCTTTAAAATAAAAAAAAATTATAGTACTCTGAAAAAGGAAATCAAAGAGGATATCAGAAAATGGAAAGATATCCCTCGTTCTTGGGTAGGAAGAACCTAGAAGATTTAGTGTTTCTTTTTAGTATTTAGATCTTTGATCATTTTTTATTTTACTTTAGTGCATGGTGATATACATGGGTCTAGTTTTAGTTTTCAGCATGTGGCAAACGAGTTTTTCCAGCATCATTTATTAAAGAGGCTATCTTTCTTCCAGTGAAAGTATTTGTCTCTTTGTCAAAGGTAAGAAGGCTGAGTGTGCTTGAAGTTGTTTCTGCCACTCCTACTCTGTTCCATTAATCCTCAGGTCTGTTTAGTTGCCAGTACCATGCTGTTTTTATTACAGTAGCTCTGTGGTATAACTTCAAGTCAGGGATCGTGATGCCACCTGATGTGCCTAATATCTAGAACATACAAAGAACTGAAAAAAACTAGAACCCCCCCCAAATTTAAAGATGCAATCCAAAAATAGGTATTGGAAATGAACAGACATTTCTTAGATGAAAAAGTAGAAATGACAAATAAATATATGAAAAAATGTTCAGTATCACTGGTCATTC